TTGTTGTTGTTGTCATTTTAAAAAATGTTTATTTTAAATCTTCCCAATAGACATTCTGGGCCTATTGTTACAGACTGAACCCTAAATGGAAAGGATCAATTTCTTAATCTGTCTTGTTAAAAACACAAACAAGATATATCAGTTAATTGTCATTGATTTAGTCAGAAGATAATGAGCAACAATGAAATGATGAAAATAATATAATTTTTTAGGGAAAAGAATCATAAGTGATATATTGGTATTTTCCCACTGCTGGATTTGGATCTTCATTTTAGGATATCAACTTTCTATCAGTTTACCAGTGTCGACTATCTATGCGGTTGGTTCCAGTGTGCTATATAATTAGCTGGAACAAAGTGAGTCATGTCCTTTTAATATTCTGAACTAATTGTTAAAACGTGAGTTGCTGCTTGATGCTTTTAATACTTGATTCCTGTTTATATTTAACTCCTTGCCTACGAATGCTTTTCTCTATATGGACACATTAGGTCATTGCATGAATTAAATAACACCTTGCAGTCTGTAAGCTCCTGGATAACCAGAGTGCTTTACGGACTACCCACCATCTCACACAGTAGCATTATAAAAGGAGGTGTCCCTGGAACATGGCAACAGGTGAGGGAGATGATTTGGGGCAGGTGGAGCTCTTAAAGTCCCTCTGAGTTAGAGGAAGGCCTCCCATGGCCTGACTCTCCACCCTCCCCTGCCACCCAAGCACAGTGGAAAGTTATCATCATTATTACCATTGCCTTTATTCCAGGGCTTCATTAACTTGACCTTTTCTGATACTTGTCCTTTTCTCCCCTTTAATTTGCCTTGTCGATACAGTGATTAGCTCAAGAAATCAGCTCTCGTGGAAAGCAAATGAGTACAACCCCATTGGGAACCATTTTCCCTAAAATTGACCTTCCCTTCCACCTCTCTTCCCACCTCCAACTGGCTTGCTAAGCCTCCCTTGCCAAACGCCCCAGAGAGTTCCCCTTCCTACCTGCAGAGCAGTCAGGGCCTTGGTAGCCCTCTTCACAGAAGCAGAGCCCCTCCTGGCAGTGTCCTCGCCCACTGCAGGCATTCAGACACCGCCTCTGGCCGCAGTCCTCACCAACGTAGCCCTCCTGGCATAAGCAGGTACCGTTGGCACATCTCCCCTTCCCCGAGCAGTCCCCGGGGCATCTCAGCTCGCTGCAGTCCTCGCCTGTGTAGGCCTCTTCACAGACACACTCCCCGTCCACACAGAGCCCCCGGGAGCTGCAGTCCATTGGGCAGCGGAGCTCAGAGCAATCATCCCCGCTGTATTCACTGTCACAGATGCACTGGCCATCCACACACACACCCCGGCTGGAGCAGCCCAGGGGGCAGTAGGGCTCCGAGCAGTTCTTGCCAAACCAGCCTTCGTTGCAGATGCAGCCACAGGACTCGAAGCTAAAGTTACCGTGGCCACTGCAGTGAGGAATATAGTCCAGTTGTCCTGGAATAGTCAAGGAGAAGGTCAAAGGGCAGCAGGGACAGCTCCTGTGCAATGGTGCATGCGGAAGGATGGGCAGAGACCTCTCCTCACTCTCTGATCAGATTTGTTTTGCTGAGAGTTAAGTTTGGTACATATTCAATTTAATAAGTATTTTCACCTCATATGGGTTGCCTGTGCCTGGCATAGTGGGAGCAAAGATGAAGGAGACCTGGCTCAGGAGCTCACCTTCAAGGTGTCTTAGGTTGAGTTCCCTAGAAGTAAACATTAGATGAGGATTTGTGTGAAAGTGACTTATTGGAAAGCATTTCCGGGGGAAGAGGGAGAACTGGTAGGGAAGGAAGTGGAGAAGAGTGGGAAGGGAAGGGACACAAGCCAGGGTGCATTATTAGGGAAAGTTCCATGGACAGTAACTTGGGTTCTGTCTTGGATCTCTGGAAATAGTGCAGGCCACATTTCCTCATGGATTAAGGTCTGTCCCTGGGGGAATGTAAATTCCCACACCCTTCTATTCTCTCTTCTGGCAGGACAAGAAGGTTCTGGTAGCCCAAGAACAGCCCTCTGGCAAAGACACACAGGTGTTGGCTGTGGGAGTAGAAGGGATCAGGGGGATGTGGGTTGAGCACTGACAGTCTGCTCCGAAGAAGAAGGTCCTGTGTTACAGACCCACCCGACTCCCTCTCCTTCCTGCCACCTAACTAACGCTGCTCATTCATCAAACTCAGCGCTAGAGTCACTTCAAAGGCTTCCTGGAACCTCAGTCTCATTTGGTTACTGTTGGCTGGGATCCCTTTAGAATTCTATGCATATCTCTGTCCTAGCCCTTACCACAATATAACTATAGTGGCTAATTTATCTGTCTAGCATGATTCATACAAACTTATTAAACAACACAAACTGCGTACCTGCTCAGCATACTTCTCTGTACTTGGCCCTGAGCTATGAAGTCAGGTGAGTTATATCTTTGTTAAATTCCACCACTTGACACAGCCTCCCATAGCCTGAAATAATACCACACTGACATTGCTTAACACAGCTTTTTCCCTGTAGATTTTTGCCATGTTTGCCAGGGAGCTCGGTGGGAGGCTGGTAAAAAACCCATTTACTGAAGCCACTTGGCTTCATGAGCAGCAAAGGGTCCTTGTCCATGGAAACCTATGACTTCCTCTCTTCTCCAGCTCCATTGAAAAGGTGAACTGACCTGACAGTTCTCGCTGGAGAACAGGAGATTGAACAACTGGACTCATTCTTCTATTCTTCAGATTGTTTATTTATGGATTTGCTTATGGGGAGAAAAAGGAGGTGAGAAAAACCCAGGAAATATTCCACTACTCAAAGACTGCCCATCGTTTTGGCGTCTCAGAATGAGCATGTCTGATATCTCTCTGGACATGCCAATCACCCAAGTTCTGTTAAAATTCCATCCCTGATATGCCTACATGCATCCTGTGAAAGCCTTGAGATATTGGGCCCTATAGGCATGAAAGCTTGAACCCAAGGTAGTAAGAAAAAGTCCTCTTCTCACTGAAGAATGAAATTGAATGAGTTTAAGATATACTTTTGCTGAGAAAAGCTAAGGACACAAAAGGGGATAGACTCAATTTCTACTTAGTGGTGGGCCAACTGATGAGCTATCGCATATATGGTGCTAACTAGAAGCTAAACTCTCTTCTGAATAGAGACTTTTATATTCAAAAGTTCTATTCTACCACCATTTTGTACATGGGGAAAGGAAGGTACCTTGCTTAGGCCACAAAGTTGGTAAGTAGGAAAGTCAGGATTTGAACTCAGGAAGTCTGACTCTGAAGACTTAATCACTTCTTTCAGAGAAGTAAAGATAATCGTTCACAAATGTTACTAGTTAAGGGGTGGGTGAGGCTAGAGGAAAATCCTCTGAATATTCAGGCTCTTCAGAGGATAGGGGTTGGATAAGCTCTGCGTGTGTGTGCATGTGTGTGCATGTATGTGCATGTGTGCGTGTGTGTGCATGTGTGTGCAAGTGTGGTGTGTGCAAGTGTGGTGTGTGCATGTGTGGTGTGTGTGTGCATGTGTGGTGTGTGCATGTATGTGCATGTGTGGTGTGTGCATGTGTGCGTGTGTGCATGTGTGCGTGTGTGTGTGTGCATGTGTGCGTGTGTGTGCATGTGTGGTGTGTGTGCATGTTTGCGTGCATATGCATGCACATGTGTGTGGAGGAGCTAGGGGATAAAACTTCCATCTTGCTGGAGAAGATAGGACAGGTCCTCTGAGACCTTAATGACTATCATTTACACAGATGGGAGAGAGGCTGCGACTGAGTGAACAGAGCGCCTGCATTCTCTAGTCCCTCAGGTTAACATGGATAGATATCAGTTCAGCAGCCTGTGAACACCAAAGATGAATGCAGACACATCAAATTCCCTGCTCACCACAGAAGTTGCTCTGCTGAACTGAAGTACCATCACCTGACTCATCCCCCCAAAATCAAATTAATGTATTTCAAACTGGCTAAGCAGTGTCGAGAATCCCTGACTTGAATCCCTGGGGAAGGACTGCATTTAAATCTTAGAGACATAGGAACACAAAGCTACAGACTGGGGCGCTTTTTTCCGTGGACCGTGAGAAGAGATGCCAGATTTCTTTGTGCGTTGCTTGCTCTCATTCACTCTCCCTCCCTGCTCGGCGGCCCTCTCTTTCCCCTCCTGAGACCACGCTTCAAGTCCCCGAGACTCTACCTGTGGCAGCACTTTCTTGGCAGCAGTTGGCATTGCACTGGTCCCGCAGCACTGACACTTCCCTCTCCAGCATCTCAATCCGGCTCAGCAGCTCCTGCAACACCTGCGCTGAGCTGGCACAAGGGCAGGCCTTTCTGGGGAGGTTGATCCTGTGGGTGAAGGTGACCTGGCTCTCGTGATCTGAGGTCTGGCCCGTGTACTCAGCCAGAGACTCGTCTTCGGCATTCACCTCCTGCTCAGCAGAGGCCTCCAGCCCTGAGGAGCAGAGGCTGTCCAGGGGCACGTTAATGTTGTACACATGGTTGAAGACCATGGGCTGATCTTTGCTGGATGTGTTGTAGTTGGCCATGTTGCCTTCCTCCTCCACTGCCTGCCTCTGGACCCTTTCCGTGGTGACTTCCAGCTGACACTCTGATGGCTTGACGATGGAGCCCAGAAGGATCAGGTTGACACCAATGAGCATGTTCTTCAGGACCATGGTTTCCCTGTCTGCCCCCATGCTCTTAGCCAGAGCCCTGGGTTCAAGACCAGCCTGCAGCACACAGCATGGAGTTGTGGGAATCTGCAAGAGAAACCAAGGAACAAGAGAACTTCTGAGACCTGGGCCTTGGCCCCAGGGCTCTGCACAACCCTACTAAAGCTAAAAATAGGCAGCCAAGGATTTTCGAGCTGAGCACAGTGGTGGTTCAGCGGTAAAATTCTCACCTTCCATGCAGGAGACCCTAGTTTAATTCCTGGCCAATGCAAAAGACTTCTCTTTAAACTGTTAGAAAGCAAAATATCACTTTGAAGACTAAGGTGCACTTGACCCAAGCCATGGTATTTTCAATCACCTCATATGCAAGTGAAAGCTGGAGAATGAGTAAGGAAGACTGAAGAGGAGTTGATGCTTTTTAATTATGATGTTGGCGCAGAATATTGAATATACCTTGGACTGCCAGAAGAACAAACAAATCTGTCTTGGAAGAAGTAGAGCCAGGATGCGCCTTAGAAGCAAGGATGGCAAGACTTCATCTCACCTATTTTGGGCATGCTATCAGGAGGGATCAGTCCCTGGAGAGGGACATCATGGCTGGTAAAGTAGAGGGTCAGTGAAAAAGAGGAAGACCCTTAACAAGATGGATTTACACAGTGGCTGCAACAGTGGGCTCAAACATAGCAATGATTGTGAGTATGGCCCAGGACCAGGCAGTGTTTTGTTATGTCGTACCTAGGGTTGCTATGAGTAGGAACTGACTTGACAGCATTTAACAACAACAACAAATGAAAAGAAAGAAAAATGACAGAAAAATTAAGAGGAAAAAATGTTAGATCCTACACTTAGTTCCAGAGCAACAACTACAAAATTATATAGAGAGGGAAAGGTGCAGTTTTATGTGTGAAAACATACGTAAGATTTTAGTCGGTTACTAAACTTAATATGAGTCAGTCAACAGTGTGATTTTTGTAACTTCCAAAATCTTATTTAGTCCTAGCCTTTATTAATTAAAATATAGAATAAAGGTTAGCCAAGGAGTTCTGCTCTGCACTATTCATTGATCACTTCTGGGTGGCTAGGATGTTGAAAGGACTCAAAATCTTATCATGTAAGAGGGAAGAATTTAGCATTTTGGTTCAGAAAAGTGAAGACTCAAAGAGTACAGTCATCACTTTATCATTCATTCATTTGAAAGATATTTATCGAGTACCTACTATATGCCAGTCCCTTTATTCATAGAGTTTACATTCAAGTGTGTATGTATGACAATATAAATAACCAAAAATAATTATGTATATCAAATATAATATCTAACACATATATGATATTTAATATATGATACTCTAACATACATTTATGTGTGTGCATCAGAAAGTGATAACTGCTGTGGAGAAAAATGCAAGAAGATAATAGGGAGGAAAGGGAGTTAGCAGGATAGAGGGTCATGTGATATTTTATAGCCCATGGTCAAGGAAGGATTCTCTGATAAGGTTACAGCTGAGGTAAGGAGCCAGGCAGATGGCTGAGGAAGCAAGTTCCAGACACAGGGAACAACAAGGGTAAAGGCTGCCAGGCAGGTGGAGGCCTGGTGAGGTTGAGTGACAGAGTGGCTGGGCACAAGTGAGTGAGGGTGCAGATGCTAGAAGGTCAGAGAAGCAGTGGGGGCCAGATTACATATGGCTTTGTAAACCACTGTAAGAACTTCGACTTTAAGAGGACTGATGGTGATCCTCACAGCTCAGCAAGGAAAGCTACACAAAGGGGATGGGTAATCATCAGCGCTATTTGCCAAGTATTTCTGGCCTGGCTTTCCAGGGACATGGTAGGAGTACATTTTCTGACTCTCTGTTGGCCGTGTGAGGCTGTGTCACTAGCTCTGGCCAATGACTTATGAGAGGAAGTGGTGTGTGTCACTTCGGGGCTCACGCACTTACTGGCTGATGGGAGACCTCCAGAACTTTCTCTCTTCCATGGTGACTGGCAATGTTCAAGATGGTGGCTGCCCTATCAACCTGGGTTTCTGAGTGACTACAATGAACAGAGGCCCCCTGCAGATCCACAATGGATGTGTAGTATGAGAGAGAAATAACCCTTGGGTTTTGAAGCACAGATTTTGGGATTTCTTTTTCCCACAGCATAATCTACTCTATCAGGAGATGATACTAAATTGACTTTTAATAGATTCTCTAGTTAGAGAAGGCTAAAGTTCATTCTGCACAGAAGAAAATGCATTGACTAAAACTCTGATATGTGCAATAATATGATTGTTCAATAAATACAAGTATTTGAAGGGCTAGGGCTGTCAAAGAGATTGGACTTTTCTCATATGGCAGAAGGTCCCAGAGAAGTAGTCTGTACCCAGTGAGGAAATCAGGTTTTGACTCTGTATAAGGGATAACTTTTTGAACAGTGAGAGCTACACAACCACAGAATGGACTATCATGACAGGTAGTGAGTTCCTGGTCACTAGAGGTGTTCATGTTCAAGCCAAAGACTACTCAGTGAGAATCTGAAGAGGTGTTTTCAAGCATCAGATTAGAGATTGGACTAAAATGAATGTTCAGGTCCTTCTTTACTGATATTTTATAAATTCGTGGTCTTTTGTGGTCTTTGAAAAGTCTCCCCACTACAATACCAGTAGTTAATATTTACTGGGTACTTACCAGGCACTGAGCTAAGCACTCTCCTCATATTATCTCATTTATTCCTCACAACAACCCAATAAACTAGGGAGGAGTGACAGTCAAGATATTTAACACTGGCATGGCCTGGGCAATTGGGGCAGTGATGGTCCAGTGGTAGAATTCTAGCCTTCCATGTGGGAGACCTAGGTTTAATTCTTGGCCGATGCACCTCACGCATAGCCACCACCCATCTGTCAGTGGAAGCTTTTGTGTTTCTATAATGCTGAACAGGTTTCAGCGGAGCTTCCAGACTAAGACAGACTAGGAAGAAAGGCTTGGCAATTTACTTTTGAAAATCTGCCAGTGAAATCAGCCTATGGATCAGAGTGGTCTGATCGGCAACCTGTAATGGGGATAGCATAGGTCCTGGCAGTGTTTTGTTCTGTTGTGCATGGGGTCATCATGTGCGGGGAGCTGACTCAATGGCAGCTAACAACAACAACATGGCTTGGGCAACAATCAATAAGAACAGGTACCTGTTGTAGACAACCAGTAGGGCTCTATTGTGAGCACCTGCTGGATATTGTCATGATGGCAGGTCTTCTTTCCATTTCCATTATTTGAGATGAGGAAAATGGGCTTCAGGGAAGGCCAAGGAACTTGACCAAGATTACAGTTAATGAGTAGACGAGTGAAGACTGAACCCAGATCTTCCTGACTGTAGTCCATGCTCTTAACTGCTGTTTTTCAGCTAACTTTATTATTTAGTGGCTACATAACCTTCTCATAAAAAGGCTTAGAGCTTTTACAAATCAACACTCTCCTCTCCTGGGCTCAGATTTAGGACTTTCTGTCAGCGATGGCTTTTAGCTTACTGTTTTCTCTACTAATCCAGGCTACTCCCTCAGAAATTGCTTTCAGTCTCTTCCCTCTGAGGGAAGGCCTTTCTGATGGCTCTTCATTTAAAAAGGCTCAGCCTCCACTGTGTCCCAAAGAATCAGGACGAATTCTAAACCAGTAAACCACAATTCTGGAGGAGTGGAGGGACATTTTTTAAGCCTGCCCTTTCCCAGGACAATTCCCCACTGAGCCAGCAATTAGAGAAAACCAAGGCCTCTACCGGCTGCCTCTGGCTTCCTTACTCTTCTGAGCTCCCTCTGGCATGTCCCCACCAGGCCCAGTGAGGAGTGGCTGCCAGTCACAAGCCGTTGTTAACTATACAACAGACCTCTCTGCTTCTCTCTTGTGTCTCCATTTGGCTTACAGTTGCTTTTCTGGGGGAAGGCAGAGAGAAAGGGTGGGATGAACGGCATGAGAGCTCCATTTTTCTCACTTCATCTGAAGCCTGCTAAGGGGGAAGGGAAATGAAACGAACACTTATTAAATGCCTACTTGATAAATGTGCCCTTCGTTTTGCTATGCTAATGTCACTTAGTAATTCTCTCAAATAGGCTTTTGTTCCTTGTGCCCCTGAAAGATTCTTTTTCTGTTTTCATTCTCTCTCTCCACCTCCTGTTCCTTCTTATTGCAAAGAATGCTCACTGTTCTGCAGGTGGTCTCTTCCTCCGGCACTTTTCAGCAGTGCTGGTGTGGACTGATGTACTTGTGCAGATTTTTGTAGCTTCCCATAAGGAAGGTCTGGCCTAAATTCTGTGGTATGTTCAGGAGTGCTGCATTTAACACGTTTGTCTTCTTTAGAAGGGACCCAGCTACTCTGAGACACATGTTCTGTCTTTGGTATAAGGTGGTGGCTACATTTCTAAGGCAGAGCCAAGAATCTACATCTCCAAAGGTGACGCCCAGACTTTAGGAGGTTTGAGGGGACTGACAGAGCCTCCCTCTCTTCCTTTCACTACCTCTCCATCTCTTAGACAAGTCATCAGACTAGAACTGGTAAGACTCCAGGACTAGAGCCAAAATGGGCCCGTCAAAGAGATAAAGTGGCAGCGGGAGAAGAGGGAAGAGGGAGGAAAGCAGGGAAGGAGGGAAGAGGAGGAAAGAAGATGAGGAAGAAAAACTGGAAGCTCGCCACATTGGCAAAGGAAACAGACAAAGCTTCTACAGGTAGAACGAGAACATATAAACCTGAGGGGCAGATAACATACCCAGGGTTCAATGATATACTAACATCTGGGAGCAAGACGGATAGCTAATGACCCTATGAATGATAGTGCAAGACAGTTGCAGTAATTTGATAGATTGATACTCAAGAAATCCGTGCAGGTCCATTGATTCATTTCCTCCACTCCAGCTTCCTTATCAATATAATAATCATGGTCAGCACCAGAGGTGTCTCAGGATAATTTGTAAGAGGTGGATAACAGGATCGTCTTCAAGGCTGATTTAGTGCCGCCTTAATGAGGTGGTCACACCTCTCTAAGGAGACCTGCTGGGAAAGCCTTGGTCACCCCAGCTTGGCTGAAGCTCTTGCCTCCATCTAAAGTTGTTCTTAAGTGGCTT